ATTTGATAGAATGGAAGATATACTACGGAAATAGATATGATTTTGATTGTCCAATGTCCAGCTGGCCAGTCTAATAATGGGTTGACATTATTTATACAATTATTACAATAATGCAGTGGTCTACATAACAGTAAATCTTCTATGATAAGAATACGTATGTATTGACTAAAAATAATAATAATTATAATAATAATAATAATATAATATGTAATACAAATATAATAATAATTATAATAATGTGTATGTACGTACTATGTATAATTTAGTTTGAGAATGCCACCACAAGATGGCGGTGCATATCAAAACAAAGAGCAGCAGTCCACATGTGCTTACGGAGCTTACCACGCGGGTGAAGGAATACTCCTGTTTTTCTTATGTTTCGTGCAGCTATTTCACAAAATTTCTTGTTTCTAACCATGGGTCCTAAGAAAGCAAGTCCACAGCAGAGTGCCGAAAAGAAAAAGAGGATGATTACCATGGATTTAAAGCAGAAAATCATTGATAAACATTGGACAAGGTGCCAGGGTTAAGGACTTAGCCAGACAGTACCAGCGTACCACTTCTACAATATGTACAATACTAAAGCAGAAGGAGTCTATAAAGTCTATAGTGCCAGCAAAGGGCATTAAAATAATGTCTAAACACCGGACCTCTGTCAATGAAAAGATGGAGACTCTGCTGTTGATGTGGTTGAGGGAGAAGGAGCTCGCCGGAGATACCGTGACTGAGGGTATCATCTGTGAGAAGACACGAGGCATTTACGCTGATTTGCTGCATAAGTCCCCAGGCACTTCAGCGGACGAGGTATCACAAACGTCGTTTAAAGCCAGTCAGGGATGGTTCGAAAAGTTTAAAAGGAGGACCAACATTCACTCTGTCATCAGGCATGGTGAGGGAGCAAGTTCTGATGTGAAGGCAGCTGAGAGTTTTATCAAAACTTTTGCAGAAGTGATAGCAGCTGAAGAATACACCCCTCAACAAGTCTTCAACTGTGATGAGACAGGGCTCTTCTGGGAGATGATGCCAAGGAGGACTTACCTAACTGCAGAAGAGAGGAAGATGCCAGGCCACAAACCCATGAAGGACAGGTTAACCCTTGCACTGTGTGCAAATGCGAGTGGCGACTGCAAGATCAAGCCGCTGCTGGTATATCATTCAGAAAACCCCCGAGCCTTTAAGTCACATAAGATTCTAAAAGAAAAGCTGGACGTTATGTGGAGGGCAAACCCGAAGGCATGGGTCACCAGGCAGTTCTTTGTGGAGTGGGTAAACCTGGTCTTTGGTCCTACAGTTAAGAAATATCTCCAGGAAAATAACCTACCCCTTCAAGCCCCTCTCATCCTGGACAATGCACCTGCTCACCCACCGAGTATCGCAGATGACATAATCGAAGACTTCAAGTTTATAAAGGTTCTCTACCTTCCACCCAACACCACCCCTATCCTGTAGCCTATGGACCAGCAGGTGATTTCCAATTTCAAGAAACTCCTCACCAAGCACCTGTTCTGCCACTGCTTTGATGTGACAGAGAACACAAATTTGACCCTTCAAGAACTCTGGAAGGACCACTATAACATCGTGATATGCCTCAGAATTATAAATATGGCCTGGCAGGGTGTTACAAGGAGGACCTTGACCTCTGCTTGGAAGAAGCTGTGGCCTGAGTTTGTGTCCGAAAGGGACTTCGAAGGATTCGAACTCGAAGAGCCAGTGGTGGAGGAGATTGTGTCCCTTGGAAAGGTCATGGAACTGGAGGTGAATGAAGAAGATGTGAACGATCTCATCAAGGAGCACTCCGAGGAGCTGATGACGGAGGAGTTAGATGAGCTACATAAGCAGCAGCATCAGGAGGTTTGGCAGGACATTCGTACCGTGGAGGAGGAAGATATGGAGGAGTATACCTCTACAAGTGAGATAAAGGAAATGTTGGGAATCTGGGAGAGATTATCAGGCTTTATTGAAAGGAAACACCCAGTGGTTGTGCACTGGACCTATTTAATGATGCTTGCATGAGTCATTTCCAAAACATTCTGAAAGGGAGGAAGAAACAAACCTTCTTGGACAGTTTTTTCTTGAAACATTCTGCAGATGAAAGTGTGACAAGCGTGGAGAAAAAAACAAAAATCAGTGAATAGTGAAGTATGTATCATTAAAATAAAAATTGTAGCAGTTAAGTGACAAAGTGTATCATTAAAAGTGTAGAAATTAAGTGTACACAGGATTAAGAGTGTATCACCCAGAGAAAATTTCAAATGGTCGTGCATAAAATACTTATTACAAAGGCCACTAGTATGCCTAGTGCATTGGATCTATTAAATGACAGCATACACCAATGTGCCCAGCATCTCTTCTCCATCTCCATGGTAAATGCTGTATTACAGTGGACCCCCGCATAGCGACTTTAATCCGTGCAAGAGGGCTCATTGTTATGCGAAATGATTGGTATGCGAATGAATTTTCCCCATAAGAAATAATGGAAATCAAATTAATCTGTGCAAGACACTCAAAAGTATGAAAAAAAATTTTTACCACATGAAATATACATTTTCCTACACACAAAGAGAAGGATACATGCACAATAGTAGAGTAGTACATGCACAATATATATTGTGCATGTACTACTCTACTAAATGAAGAATAAATGACACTTACCTTTATTGAAGATGCAGCAATGACTGATGAGACACTGTGTCCTGGGAGTGCCTTTTCCTCCTGAGTACTGTAGGTCCTGTTTGGCATTTTCTTCCAGAACAGGCCTTATCACACTGTGTATGCCACTACGATTCTTAAATCTCTCAAACCAACCTTTGCTGGCTTTAAATTCACCAATATGAGCACTAGTTCCAGGCATTTTTCCCTGTTCACCTGGGTGTTAGTCGACTGGTGTGGGTTGCATCCTGGGAGACAAGATTAAGGACCCCAATGGAAATAAGTTAGTCTTCGATGACACTGACTTTTTTGGGTTATCCTGGGTGGCAAATCCTCTGGGGTTAATTGTTTCTTGGTATTCTCAATAAGCCACACCAACAACGGTGCTACAGCAGCAGCAGCAGCAGCTGACAGTGCTACAGCAGCAGCAGCAGCTGACAGTGCTACAGCAGCAGCAGCAGCTGACAGTGCTACAGCAGCAGCAGACGATGCTACAGCAGCAGCAGACGGTACTACAGCAGCAGCTGACGGTGGTACAGCAGCAGCAGCAGCTGACAGTGCTACAGCAGCAGCAGACGATGCTACAGCAGCAGCAGATGGTACTACAGCAGCAGCTGACGGTGGTACAGCAGCAGCAGCAGCTGACAGTGCTACAGCAGCAGCAGACGATGCTACAGCAGCAGCAGACGGTACTACAGCAGCAGCAGCAGCAGCTGACGGTGGTACAACAGCAGCAGCAGCTGACGGTGCTACAGCAGCAGCAGCAGCTGACAGTGCAGCAGCAGCAGCAGCAGCTGACAGTGGTACAGCAGCAGCAGCAGCTGTACCACCAATAGTAGCGATGGTTGATTGGGGTTTATTATACAACCTGGCCAGCTCGGAGACACGCACTCCACTTTCATACTTATCAATGATCTTTTTCTTCATCTCTATAGTAATTCTCACCCTTATTGCTGTAGGGTTGGCACTAGAAGCTTTCTTGGGGCCCATGGTCACTTATTTTGCAGATAAAATCACCAAAAACACTGTAATAATACGAAATGTTCCGATTGTATGCTTGGATGTTACCGCGGAGCCTGGCTGGTAAACAATGCCACCGGCGGCACATGTGAGGCTGGCTAAGGGTGCACATTGGACGCGTCTCGGACGAAGAGCGGTGAGTGGGTTTTTGAGCGGTATGCGAGGCAAAATTTTTGCGATAAAAGCGAGCGGTATGCGGATTGAACGTTATGTGATGCCGACGGTATGTGGGGGTCCACTGTACTACATAATTTCTTTACGTATTATTATTATTAATATTATTATTATTTCATTATTATTATTTTTTATTATTATTATTTTTTATTATTTTATTATTATTATTGTTTTTCTTATGAAACTATGTACGTAGTAGTCTAAAGGAGTTTGCCTGGCACACTCCATTTTCTGTTATAATAAAAGCATGGGAAGGTATGTCAGGAGAAGGAATGGCCACCATGGTGGCCCTATAATACACAACAACAACAATGGCCATTGTGCCTCTGCCTCCACTAACACTACTCGCATACATAATATTTCATTCATTCTAGTGTATATATCGTGTTTCTATGTTATTAATATTGTTTATTATGTCATATTAGATGAACTGTGATAGATAAATAAGCCGTATAGATGATATTAGTGAAATATTGAAGTATCCTGTCAGCCTCCTGAGAGCCGGGAACGAATTAATTGCATTTCAATTAATTTCAATTAATTTCAATCATGGAACGGATTAAACTCACAAGTAGAGGTTCCACTGTATTTGGAAGTGTATAGGAAAAAGTCAGAAATTTCACTGGGTATCTTATATGAAAATTTACATAGTAAAATAAGGATAGGTTGCTTAGTGAGAGTAGGTTCTAGACTGTGGGGAAGATGACCAGTAACCTGCCAAATGAGGAAAGAAGCTAAACCAACCTACTTAAGAGGACTAGTTAGGAGGTGCTTTCATTACAATAACATGAAAATTTTTCCTCTGTTAGCCTTCTCAAGGAAAATTCCCAGTTGAATGAAGTATCAGAGTAATAACAGAAACTCTAGCAAAAAAATAAAGAGGGACTGTAAAATTTGATACCTGATTTGGTGAAAGATTCAAATGAATGAACAAATCAAATAGAGGATGTGGTCTTTTGTTGATTTATGTTGAAGTTGAAGCTGAGAGACTAGAAAGCAATATTGAGAACAAAGTATTTGGTAATGACTGGCATTAAACAAACTGAATATCAGCACAGATGTTATGTAGATATTGCAAGTCCTTTTTAATAAAGCTTTAATGATATTGCAATGGTGAATAATAATTACAGAAAATCTTGAGAGTAGGAGCCTCTTACCTGGAGATTCTTCGTGATAAGTCAATAGGAGGAAGAATGCGGATTGGCTTAGGACGACGTACTGGTACTGGAGTTGTGGTTGTAACCTCGGGTTCTGGGGTTGTAGGTGGTGCTGTTGCAGGTTCTGTGGTCATGGCTTCACTAACTTCTGATTCTGGTTCCACGGTTATAGCCTCAATGACCTGTGGTGCTGGTGCAGGTTCCATCGTCATGACTTCACTGGCGTGTGGAACTGGGGTTGGGTCTATAGCTTTTACCTCAATGACTTGTGGTGGTAGTGGTTGTGGTGCAAATGCTGGTTCCATGGTTATGACCTCAATGACCTGTGGTGCTGGTGGTTGTGGTGCTAATGTTGGTTCCATGGTTATGACCTCAATGACCTGTGGTGCTGGTGGTTGTGGTGCTGGTGGTTGTGGTACTGGTAGTTGGGGTGCTGGTTGTTGGGGTGCTGGTAGTTGTGGTGCTGGTAGTTGTGGTGCTTGTGGCTGTCGTGCTGATAGTTGTGGTGCTCGTGGTGATTCCATGGTTATGATCTCAATGACTTGTGGTGCTGGTGGTGGTTCTAGGGTTGTGATCTCATTGACTTTCAATGGTGCTGATGTTGCTGGTTCCATGGTTATGGCTTCAATAACTTGTGGTGCTGATTCCAAGGTTATGACCTCAGGGATTTGAGGTGCTGGTGCTGGTTCCAGTGCCACAACCTCAGGGATTTCAGGCACTGTTGCCTCGATGATTTCAAGTTCTGGTTCTGGTTCCATAACCATGGTATCAGGAATTTCTGGTTCTGGGGATATTTCCAGGGTTGTGAATTTACTTATTACTGCTGTGGTTGGTTCCATGCTCGTGGTCTCAATTATCTGGGGTGCAGGTGTCATGGTGGTGGTTGTGGGAGGTGAAGTAGCTCTGGGTCTGCCAAAAGTTGGGCGGAGAACACGAGGACCTTGTTGCGATTTAGGAGGGATTCGAAACTTTCTGCGTGACTGACCTCTACTTGTATGCCTGAAAAAAAAAATTACTGCTGTAGAGAGTTGAGTTTTAGGTGTGTATGTATGTATGTGTACTCACCTACTTGTACTCGCCTAATTGTGGTTGCAGGGGTCGAGACTCAGCTTCTGGCCCTGCCTCTTCACTGAGTGCTACTAGGTTCTCTCTCTCCCTGCTCCATGAGCTTTATCATACCTCATCTTAAAACTATGCATGGTTCCTGCCTCCACTATATCGCTTGCCAGACTATTCCATTTCCTAGCAACTCTGTGGCTGAAGAAATACTTCCTAACATCCCTTTGACTCATCCGAGTCTTTAGCTTCCAATTGTGACCAGTGGTTTCTGCATCCCATCTCTGGAACATCCTGTCTCTGTCCACCTTGTCTATTCCATGCAGTATTTTGTATGTCGTTATCATGTCTCCCCTGACCCTCCTGTCCTCCAGTGTCGTCAGACCAATTTCCCTTAACCTTTCTTCAAAGGACATTCCTCTTAGCTCTGGAACAAGCCTTGTTGCAAACCTTTGCACTTTCTCTAACTTCTTAACATGTTTGACCAGGTGTGGGTTCCAAACTGGTGCTGCGTACTCCAATATGGGCCCGACGTACACAGTATATAAAGTCTTGAATGATTCCTTACTGAGGTACCGGAATGGTATTCTCAGGTTTGCCAGGCACTCATATGCCGCAGCAGTTATCTGGTTAACGTGTGCTTCTGGCAACATACTAGGTATTATACTCACTCCTAGATCTTTCTCCTTGAGTGAGGTTTGCAGTCTTTGGCCTCCTAGCCTATACTCTATCTGCAGTCTTCTTTGCCCTTCTCCGATCTTCATGACTTTGCATTTGGCGGGGTTAATTTCTAGGAGCCAGTTGCTGGACCATGCATCCAGCCTGTCCAGGTCTTTTTGTAAACCTGTCTGGTCCACATTTGATTTAATTTTCCTCATTAACTTCACATCATCTGCAAACAGGGACACTTCTGAGTATCCCTTCCATCACATATACCAAGAATAGCACTGGTCCTAGGACTGACCCCTGTGGGACCCCACTCGTCACAGGTGCCCACTGTGATACCTCATCACGGACTATAACTCGCTGTTGCCTCCCTGTTAGGTATTCTCTGATCCATTGCAGTGCCCTTCCTGTTATATGTGCCTGATCCTCTAACTTCTGTACTAATCTCTTGTGAGGAACTGTGTTGAAGGCCTTCTTGCAGTCCAAGAAAATGCAATCAACCCACCCCTCCTTCTCATTTCTTACTTCAGTTACCTTGTCATAAAACTCTACTTCAGGTAGTTGCCCAGTTTCAAGGAAAGTGTTGAAGATTTTGGTTAGTGGCACACACAGTGTCTCTGCTCCCTCTCGAAGGACCCATGGAGAGATGTTGTCCAGTCCCACCACCTTTGAGGTATCAACGTCACTTAGAAGCTTCTTCACCTCCTCCTCAGTTGTGTGTAATTCGTCCAACACTTGTTGGTATATCCCTTATTGGTGTACCCCACTGTTTTGTCTTCCCAGTGTCCCTTCAGCCTCCACTGTAAATACTTCCTGAAATCTCACATTGAGCTCCTCACATACTTCTTGATCATTTCTTGTGAGATCTCCACCTAGAAGATGATTGATCACGTTGACCCTGATCTAAACCTCCATAATCTGACACCCAATCAAAGCCTATTGGAAAGTAACTGCCTTTATTACACAGCATCACAAGCCAGCACTATCCTAAACAATGCTAAAAGCCTATCAGTACTTAACTACAACATCAGGTCCTTAAGCAAACACTATGATGACCTCGTGGCACTCCTTGAATCACTAAAGACACCCTTCTCCTGTATTATTCTTACTGAGACCTGGCTTAAGCAGGACACAATAGATATCTACCCTCTACCAGGATACACAGCAATTCACAACTGCAGACCAAGCCAAGTTGGGGGTGGTATTGCAATCTATTACTCTAACCAATTATCTTGTATTAGCACCACTTGCTTTAGTGATGAATATGGGGAATACATTTTTGCTAATTTTACTGTTAAAAACCTTAAGACACCTATAACAATCGGTGCCATTTACCGGATACCTCACACAAACATCCCAAATTTCAGTGAGAAATTAAAGTCACTAATAACAAACAGACAAATGAATAAGCACCACCACCTCTTAGCTGGAGACTTCAACATCAACCTTGGCTTACTAGATGATCAGCCTGTAACTGATTTCATCAACAATATGAACAACACACTTCTCATACCAACAATAACTAAACCAACCAGGCTCACTGAGACAAGTGCAACCATAATAGACCACATATGGACCAATATACTAGCCCCCCTTAAATCAGGGATAATCACAGATAGCACTACAGACCACTACCCTACCTTCCTCCTGACAAACATTAATAAACCACCACTTGAATACAACAAAGTCTCATTTAGACTCCATGACGAGGCCTCAATAAGGAAGTTCACAACTGACCTAGAGATTGTTGACTGGCCTACAGAATTCTCCAAGGCCAATGGTATTGATGACTGGACAGACATTTTTCTTAACAAATTACTTAGACTATACAACAAACATTGTCCTATAAAAACGAAACAGATCACAAACAAACGGCTTGGTTGCCCATGGCTAACCAGCACCATTCTGAAATCCATTGACAAGAAACACCAATATGAAAAGCAATATAGACTGGGCTTAGTACACAAAGATATTCTTAAACACTATTCATCAGTTCTCACCAAAGTAATAAAGAAAGCCAAACAACTATACTATTCCAGTAGATTCACAGACACTAGAGGAGATATAAAAAAGACCTGGAAAACACTCTCTCAGATTCTAGGGACCCACAAACTGAAAAAAACCAAGAATATTGTCCTAACTAAACCTAATGAAACACCACTACATCCCACTGACACAGCTAACAAGATAAACGACTTCTTCTCAACCATAGGATCTAATCTCGCCAATAAAATCCCACATACTAATGCCCATGCCGGGGACTACCTAGATGGGAATTTCCCAAATTCCTTCTATCTTGCACCAACTGAGCCCTCGGAAGTCACCGAGATTATAAAGTCACTTAAAAACAACTCAGGGAATCTGTCTAATGTCCCACCATTACTGTACAAGCGAGCGGCCCATATCCTTTCGCATGCTATTTCATTACTTTTTAACAAGTCACTAGAAACTAGCACCTTCCCGAAACTACTCAAGATGGCAAGGGTTACACCAATACATAAAGGTGGTGACCCTACAGACTTAAACAACTATAGGCCAATATCAAACTTACCATTGCTATCCAAAATCTTTGAGAAACTCGTGCACAGGAGACTATATTCATTTATAACAGCACAAAACATACTCAACCCCTGCCAATTTGGATTTAGGAAAAATAAAAGCACTAATGATGCAATCATAAAAATGCTAGATCTGCTTTACACAGCATTGGAAAATAAGGAATATCCACTAGGAATTTTTATTGACCTAAGAAAAGCTTTTGACACAGTAGACCACGACATCCTACTCCACAAACTTGACCATTACGGTATAAGAGGCCATGCGCTTGCTTATTTCAAATCTTACCTTACTAATAGGTATCAGTATGTTACCATTAAAGACACAGCATCAACAACACTGCCACTTGATATTAGAGTTCCGCAGGGAAGTGTCCTTGGTCCCCTGCTCTTCCTCATATACATCAATGATCTTCCAAACGTATCCCAACACCTGAAACCCATTCTCTTTGCTGACGACACGACTTATGTCATCTCTCACCCTAATCTTGCCACCCTCAACACCATTGTTAACAAGGAGCTGATCAAAATATCGACTTGGATGACAGCCAATAAACTTACGCTTAACACTGACAAAACCTACTATATTATGTTTGGTAGCAGAGCAGGAGATGCACAAATTAACATTAAGATCGACAACACTCTAATTACCAGACATAATGAGGGCAAATTCCTAGGCCTATACCTTGACAACAACCTGAATTTCAGCACCCATATCCAACACATAACCAAAAAAGTATCCAAAACAGTTGGGATCCTCTCCAAGATATGATACTACGTGCCGCAAAATGCCCTTCTCACACTATACCACTCACTTAGTTATCCATACCTCACCTATGCTATTTGTGCTTGGGGATCAACTGCAGCAACACACCTAAAGCCAATAATAACCCAACAAAAAGCTGCAGTAAGAATAATCACTAAATCCCATCCCTGGCAACACACCCCCCCAATCTTCATAGATCTAAACTTACTCCCTGTTCAGTACATCCACACTTACTACTGTGCAATCTACATCTACAGGACCTTAAACTCCAATATCAACCTTGACCTAAAACGCTTTCTTGATAGTTGTGACAGAACCCACAGGCATAACACCAGACACAAACATCTCTACGACATTCCCCATGTCCGACTAAACCTTTACAAAAATTCAATGTATGTCAAAGGCCCTAAAATCTGGAACACTCTACCTGAGAACTCTAGAACTGCAGACACATTCATCACCTTCAAAACTACCATTAGAAAACATCTTATCTCCCTGATAAACCCCATCAACTAACTACACGAATACCACCTGGTGGTTCACACTTACACTCACTCACCCATTTGACCATAAACAGAAATATTAATCTCAATCTTAAAATAATGAATCCTATGATACTCCAATACTGAAACTATGTACTGTGCCAAAACAAAAGCATTCACATTGCTAAACTCACAAACTAGTATTTAGTCACTTAGCCATAATACCAACTTACCTCATAATTTGTAATATTTTAAAATAAAGAATTAAACTAAGTCTGCCCGAAATGCCTAGCCATGCTAGGCGTTCTAGTGGTACACTCTGTAATCATTATTTAACTACATGTAAACCACAAAACAACCAAATTCTGTAAATTCAACATTGTAATCTTTATAGAGAATAAACTTTGAATTGAATTGAATTGAATTCTTTCCTCAGCCTGATTACCTGGTCCTTGACTTGTCTTCCTCCTGATG